AATATTGTTTTATATACTAACTAATTATAACCCAACACACTAATTCTTCATTTAGTATAATTTAAATCTGGATGTTTATCTGAAATAATAGGTGCCATGGTAGTCCATCATCATCAATGCTGCAAGTTGAAATTGATTATTAAAAAACATGTTAGGGGCCACTGAGAATAGTCTTGGGGGCCGGATTTGGACCATGCCTGCGCTAGTTCTAAAAAGCATAAGGAAGAGCTCATGATTACGGTTTTGCTCCAACTCTCTGGTTCTTATTGACTTACATTAAAAAGTAAACTCCTCTTTCTCAGTAATTAATCTATGGTTTAGTGTATGATCCTGGTGTTTATGTTTTGATAAACATATTCAGGTATGAGCCATATATGGATTGACCAATCAGATGCCTGCATTTGTTGAGAAAACTCCAGCTTGCCTTAGCAACCGTCTTAGCAACAGGTCTGGGACAGTGAAGGCAAGAAGGTAATCCCGGGATGAAATGCACAAAGAAATTGGCTCCAGCGACCATGTGTTTATTAATGACACATTTCTCTATATCCAAACCGTCTAAACCCACTTGTTACTGATACGTAAATTCCTATGCCATGATCTTACTGACAATGTGTCTTAAGCTTGAACACATCTCTTCACATCTGTGATGGATTTTCAATAGTAAACCATCACCAGATAAAGTCAAGCCAATTTTGGTCCAGTCCAAAAACGTGGGCTCTGTTTTGGTCTTCAGCAAGTATGAAACGTAATGATTTTGTTTGGATGAGGGTTATGGAAAACTGGGTGTAACGTGTGAACATTATGACTGCAGTCCTTTTCAAACCATGAAGAATTTAATTGGAAATCATAATTATAGCTGGCATTGTGCTTTGTATAGTAAAAACAAATAAATAATTGCGCTGGACATCCACTAGACCCTTGTTTTTTATGGAATTTTCCTTAATTAATTAATTTTCCTGGAGTGGCGCCACCTGCGTGTGAAAGCCAGATCCTGTCAGACCTCTGAAGCTAAGCATGTCAGGGCCTGGTTAGTACTGTGACGGGAGACCTCTGGGAACACCAGGTGCCACAGTTCCAAAAAGTGCCAAAAAGTGCCAAATAGTTGTTGCGTACACTTCGCCTACATTGCCAAGTTAAACGTCTTGTGTGTGTGTGAACGGTTGGTGGTGGATGGAGGGGCACAGACTGTCCCAGGTTTCTCACTTTTTCCAACTAGAAGGACTGTGGTGATGATCCAGGACACTTTAACATTCTACAACATGTATGGACATTTATCAACATTGATGGACATTGGTCTCTCCCTATGGACCAATACATATGTGTATTTTCTATTTCTTAACTGTTGATTCTCTGATCTGTGTTGGTGATTTCAATGGTTTTGTTGAGTCCTCTGAGATGACTTCTGTTGTGATTTAGGGCTATACAAGAATAAATTGTCTTGTATTGTAATAGTGGAATGAAGTGAATGTATAATACCATGTGAAAGGTTTAAGTGTCCAAAAATAGTGCTCTGCAAAGGTTAACTAAATACACATTCAGCTTAGTGGCTGAATGCCAAATGTTTTAGTTTTGTTTCTGGAATGCTTTCTGGCACTACTTCAGCATATTTTTGTGTATCTATAGTGGGATTGCATTTGTATTATTTCTGAACATAACATGTACATTTCTCCAGTGTGAGATCAATAAAGTCTATCTTAGGCACCAAAGTATACCTACATTCATCATTCATACATTCCATCTTTTTTGTTTATTTATTTATTTTATTTATTTATGGACAGTGGTCTTCTGTGTTATTATTGCATTTCCTGTTTTTGAATAGTTTGGTTCTCTGATCTGTTGTTGGGGAACCGTCAATTTTGTAAAGTCCTCCAAGACGGCTTCTGTTGTATTTTAGGGCTATACAAAATAAAATCAATTGAAGTGTTGATTTGCTACTATACATCTCTGGTGCCTAAAAAGTTTCAATAGCCACAAAATGGAACTGTTTCAGAAACCACTAAATGTCATTCTGTGCACATGAACCCTCAGTTTACTCAGTAGATTGTTATGACCTTCAGAAGAATCATCCCTGGTGTTCTGACTTGAATCTTCAGCATGACCACTTCTGAGCACGTCACAGTTACGTCTAACATGAAGAGCAATGGGCCCAAAGAAATAAACACATACTTAAATTAGAATAAGCCAACGTCTGCACTGACAAAACACTTTACAGCGCTGTATAAACACTGTCCTGCCACCGTCCATAACTCACTATCACTGTTATCTAAACACAATAGTCTATTCTATATATCATGGATATTTATCTACCCGAAATTATTTTTACATCCCAAATTAAGATTATGTATCTCCATTAAAGTTACAAATATATATAAAGTCCTCAGGAGAATTCAAGTTGTATGATCTTGATAACAGACTGGATGTGTGTATAAAAGTAAACCTGTATCAACCCTATAATGTTTTATCTAGTTTGGTGATAAGGGCAATGTTGGGAGAAATCAGGGATCATAATAGAATTATGTTGAGGGCCAGGCAAATACAAATGCTGCAAATAATTTACTGTACATTTGTCATTATGTAATTGTAAATAGACAATAACAAATGAAATCCACTATAAACTACACATGTGTATTTTTGAGTCTTTCTCAAACCTAGATATGTGCATACGTCATAATACTAAAGACACTGTCTGCGTACAGCATAGATCCGTGATACTGTGACGCCATCTTGTGGCAAACATAAGACATGGAGGCAGTATGGGTGTATAGTTGTTACACAGTCAATTCTCATTTAGAACTACCATTAGGAGCACCACTATTTAATATCGTGGTAAAGCCTAAATTAGACCAAGTGACTTGTTGTAGATTTTCTGTAGTAGTAGTAGTAGTTTATTTGTTCAGTCACTTTTTCACAACTCAGACAATACAGATCATTTGAAAAAAATAAAGTAAAAAGTAAAGTTGACTGAAAGGGTTTAGGCTGAAGTGAAACACTTATAGAAGCCTAACCCTACTATAGCTTACTATAACCAGAACAACTAAAACAGCAACAATTAGCTTTCAGCATGGAAAAACAATAGAAAATACATATCTATATTTTTGCAGAAAAGACATGTAGGTAAATGAGGATTCATACAAATTGTTTTGATGATATAAACAATATTATAATGGTAATAATAATAATAATAATAATGTTGATAATTGCTTTAATATTATTTATTTATTCTAATTCTCTATATTTATTTATAAGATGAATTTTAAGGACATTTTTGAAAATCTTGATGGATGTAGTTTTCTTTAGTGACTCATCCAGACCATTCGAGACAGCAACTCCTCTAACTGAGACACATCTACACTTTGCTTTGGTCCTGGCAGTGACCCTTTGGTAAATGTCAGTTCCTCTAAGATTATAATTTGATTCTCTGGTGTTAAACCTTTCCTGGATGCATTTAGGGACATTCTGATTGTGAACATTGTACATGACAACTGCTGTATTTAGGTCAACTATATCATGTAATTTTAGGGTATTTGATTTTATAAATAATGGATTTGATGATGAATAATAGTCTGCACAATTGATTATTCTGATTGCTTTCTTTTGTATAATAGGTGTAATGATTTTTTGTTAACGATTTTTTTAATTTTGCACAATATTCCAATCATTTTAGATATCTTTGTCTTCAAGTATTCTATATGTATTTTCCAGTTAAGTTTTGCGTCAATGTTAACTCCCAAGAATTTTGTGTTGTACACCCTCTCTATTTCAATTTGATCTATATTTAATTTGGTCGGAAAGCCAATTTTTTTATTACCAAAAATAATATATTTAGTTTTTTTAGTCATCGTTGGCATTCTATAGTTTCACTATAGAATGCCAACGATGCAATGTTGTAATGCAATGTTGCATCATAGCTTGTACTATAAGGCTCGTATATTTATGTGAATACTTGTTCAGGTCATATTACAATACTTGTAGCAATTTACAATGCACCAGAAAGCAGACTTGTGAAGTTCCTCCGATACCTGGTTGCGTGTTACGGTAAAAGTCTATCACAGTCTATGGTTTGAGACTGAGCAGGATTATGTTCTGTCTATGCTCCCGTTATTATAGACCCATGCAATTCTCTCCATAGAGAGCAGAATGAGGCGCCGTGCTGTGGCGCTGTGCGGTACTACAACAGGATGATACAGATAATACTGGCTTTGCGTGTACATTTCTGGACTATAATCTAACACAGGCAAAATCCATACATGAATTAGCCACAGCAGTAGGTGAATTACATCATCTTCCATGAAACAAGCGCAAACACAATAATACTCAAAGCTACATATATTAATTTGAGTATTGTGATTTCTGTTTCCCATAGAATTTATTGCGGTTGAGTTAAAATATTTAGTCAACAAATACAATTTTAGGCTGATCAAGAAAGCATCTCAAGATCTCAAGACCTACACATGTAAGGCACCTGTTTTATTAAGTTTAGCAGCCAGCATTTAATTTGATATTCAAATATACAAACGACACTATTGTAACCTTATATTCTTGATATAATTGAGAAACAAAAATGCATTTTACATAATGTTTATAATTAAAAGTAGCAAATAAGGTACATTAAATTGTATTTATGACGTACATGCACCTAAAAAATCATCAATGTCAACATTCTTAACTAATTCTGAAAATCTGTTACATGTCAATTTCAAATTTCCATCTTTTTCTATCTACATTTTTCAAACATCTTTTGACAGTTTCAACTTTTCACTGCATACACAACAAAAACAAACAAAAAACGTTGCCCCTGTGATCCCGCAACCTCCATGCCCGCGACCCACCAGTTGAGAACAGTTAATATAATACATCCATGGTTGAGAACCACTGGACGACATTACGAAAAGCACGCGCCCCCTCCGCCTTCACCCAGCCCCGCCCCTCTTCACCCAGCCCCGCCCCTGCCTGTCTCACGCACCAGTTACGTCTGACCGTAAAAAATAGAAACTTCCAAGATGGCCGACTCCGTGGACTCCATGCATTTCGCAGCAAACGGCAAAACAAATTCTCCTAAAGCCCTTACAGCTAAGCGCTCACCGGAGAGCCGACCCCAGTCTTCCAACGAAAACCACCCACCCTCACCAAAGAAAATCCGCCTGGAGGAGAGAGCCCCGAAGCACGGAAAACTCAACGGAGAGGCGTGCGCAGCGGAGAAACACAACGGGAAGCAGAGTTGTGGTAGCCCAGCGAAATGGAGTTACGGCCCGGGCAAGGCGAGCCACTCCGCCGCCTCTCTTCCCGGGACTCCAGCGCGGAAAATCTTCAAAATAAGCAACTTCCTCGCCTCGCCACACAAAGTGAAGAAGTCTAAGGAAAAGCGTCACAAGGAGAAAGAGAAAAATAGCCAAGCGCGAAGGAGTCCTAGCGCTGCTGCCGTGGGTAAAGTGAGCCCCGTTAGCGGCCATACAAAGACTGAGAACGGGGACGTGAGGGCGCTGCATGGAGGTATGGATAGACTGGGTGATTACACATTATTGCATTTAAAGTGGTTCCAAGCCAACATAATAAAGCTATGCAATTAATTAAAACATGTTTGTATGTGTTTTTAGGCCGCAATGTTTATTAGGCCCAGAAAGTCATGTTGCACGTGGAATTGTTTCTGCAGGTTGTATTAGTGTTAGTATTTCTCATAACGGGCTATTTTTGTGTTTTTTTTATTTTAATTTCAGATGATCTTGTTAAGGAAGAGACGAGAAAGGACAAAAATAAGGATTGGAAGAATCACAAACTACCATCTGTTCATGACATGGGAAGAGAAAATGGAGAAGTTATGGCTCATCTGAAAGGTAGGATGACAAGTACTCTGGAAGATGCTATTATGGAAATGCTGTTTTTGTAAGATACTTATTTTGGTTATTTTGGATTGCAGTGTTTCACATTTTCAAATATAGTTTTGAAGTGGTGGACCAAATACGTTTATTTACATATCAGGAAAAAATTATTACAATATATTGCATCAAATCAAATTAGAGAGGTTTACCTACACTACATTAATATTTGGTTGAATTGCCTTTCTAAACTGAATTTGGGCCTAATGTTGTGGGTAGCCTTCCACATGTTTCTGTTCATAAATTGCTGGTATTCTGGCCCACTCCTCCTGAGAACTTACAGGCTCTCTTGCTCGTACCTGCTTTTTCAACTTAGCATGGGATTGAGGTCAGGGCTGTGATGACCACTTCTACGCCTAACCTAACCTTGTTGTCCATGAGCCATATCTCGAGTACTTCTTCAGAATGTCCAATCTTTATCCCCAAGCTTTGGCTAACAGCTGTCAGGCTGTGTCTGTACAGGACTCGTTTCACTGTGGATGTAACTTTTACCTCAAAAGCTATGGCTGTTGTTCTTGGATTTATTGCGCTTTTTGTTCATCTTCAGGAGACAGATTGTGTCTCATTCCTGAGCTCTGTTGTCCCACATTGTATACGTACTTGCATACTATTGTTTGAATAGATGAACGTAGTACCTTCAGGCGTTAAGAAATCGCTTACAGGGATCGTTCTGAGGTCTTGCTTGATTCCTTTGTAATTTCCCATGATGGCAAACAGTAAGTTTGAGTGTGACGCCCTTTGAACAAATGCTGGAGCACCTCCAATTGGACCAAATGATGGTGCTAAGCCATGGCATAATTTTAAGCAGTAAAATTATACTGCTTAAAATTATTTGTTATGAATAAAAGATGAAATAACATTATCTAAGTTTATGATGTATTGATTGACTTGAACTGGCACATAAGATTTACTGAGGTGTATGTAAACTACTTCAACTGTATGTATTGGGCAAGTATCTTAACTCTCAGTACGGCATTATTAGTATTTGTGGTATCGAATGTCTGTTCTATGTCATCAGTTCAGCCTTTTCATTTGATGTACTATAATAACTGGCTGATGTTGCTTGTACCCAGATGGTCTTATAATCTTGTATTCACACCAAACAGCATGCAGGATACAACAGTTACATTACTATACACGTTATAAGAATACACTTGAAAATGAAATGCCAGTTTCTGTCCTTAATAAAAAGATATTGACATTGGTATGGAAGTGTTATAGTTGGATTGTGAAACGCTTATTTTAAATCCAAGCCCATCTCTATTGAGACTAACTGGTCAATTATTACATCTTTTAATGCAACCCTGCTCAGTAGAATAAAAACACTTCTACTGCTTTAAAGCAACATGTTTTACTTACTCTTGATGATGGTTTGTTTTTCAGAGGTCAAGGAGAAATCCAAATCTGGATCAGAGGAAGACCTACTGAAGAAGCTGAAAAAGAAGAAGAAAAAGAAACACAAAGATGGCGAGCGGCCCAAGGACAGACGCAGCCATCCCAAGATGTACCACCGCTCCAGCCAGACCGTGTGCTCCGGCGTCTCCCTGCCCCTGCCCGACTTCCTCAGCAAGATGAACGGCAACAGTAGCAGCAGCACTTTCCTCACCTCCAGCGCTCCCCCGGCTCCGCTCCCGGACACCAACTGCTCCTCTGTGCCCTCTCCCGCTGCGGAGCGCCCGGGCTACTGCTCCCCCCTGCACTGCACCTCGTCCCCCGGGTTGCCAGGGCTGGAGTTTGGCCGCCTCATCCACGTGGAGCAGCAGGCCAACGGCGGCGCGTCGGTGCTCCATGCCTACGGCGAGCAGCTGGGTGGCCTGTCTGCGGCGGAGATGGAGCGCTTCGCAGAGGAGTTCGTGGCCCTCTCCTTCAGCGAGGACCAGGCCCACGCCGCTAGCTACGTCATGGGGATTATCCACGGAGCCGCGGCGTACCTCCCGGACTTCCTGGAATATTTCTCCTACAATTTTCCCAACTCCCCTGTGAAGATGGAGGTGTTGGGGAAGAAGGATATTGAAACGACGACCATGGCCAACTTCCACACACAGGTGAGTTCCAGAGCTGTGAGGAATGAGTCGCTGCGTTGTGTGGTTTATTTTCCTTCATCTACTCGAGCGATTTATGCATGTTTGAGTCATTTTATCTCTTGCTTCTTCAATCTTTCTTTTAAGTACCCTTACTCATTTCTTTTTTTTAACGATGGGGTAAAGGTACAAACATTCAAACCACTACTAAAACTGTTGTTTCGGCCTCTGTCACATCTTTAGATCACCCAAATAGCTCTCAGCCCAAAATGTCAACTAGCGACTCACAGGGCTTGATCTTAAAAGTATGCAAAAGAGATTTGTAATCAAATAGAGATTTGTTCACACAACTTTCCTTCGCCAAAGGAATGAAAACTATTGTTAAATTGCGATTATTGAGGCATGCATTTAAAATCAGACACAATTATTTTGTTTTTTCTTTTAACAAAAATAGGACAAACTCTGTGATAATTTCACCAGATCGCCCAGCCCTACATGTATGACTCTGCAGGATCATGCAGTTGGGATGTTTTTCTGCGTATATTTAATAAATATATACCTTTAAAATATTTTACAGATTTATTATGGCCAAAAATAATCAATGCTGCAGATTCAAACTTTCTTATAGTGAGACACAACATAATCTTGTAAGAGCTGGTATGTTATTATATTCCAAAGTGATATAAGATTATTCGTCTTATTATTTGGTATCTGGATGAATTAGGAAAGTATCACATCAGCAGATACACAGCCATGCACACCCCTCATGCTGGTGTTTTGCTGCTGTGCGAGATCTGGTAAATCTGCCTCACTATTTCTTAAACAAAATACCATACTTGCTTCTTTCATTAATTCAATTTCAATTATTAGAGATTTAAAGGGTTGAATATTATAATGACCAACAGTTAGACCAAAGTACAAGTCGTCGTCTTTAACAGCTGATTACGTTACAGTTGAAGCTAAATAGCCGTGTTTAATACAAGAGCACCTTTTACCATTTGAGGTGTTAGATTGTTACGTAACACCAGCCTTCGCTGTGTAAATGCCAGTGTCATTTATTCTCCACTCGTCTTTCACAGCTTGCATTTAAAAAGAATGAAAGCTCTAAAGGTACAAAGTTTGGAAATTGATAAATTACTTAAACTCCTTAGATAAAGCTGCCTTTCTGGAGGTGAGTAATCCAATACAACATAAAACATAACATGCCCCCTTCATCCCCTTCAGAGTCTATATTAGACTTATACTAATATCAGACAAAGTTTTAGATTACCCTTCTATTTATATTCTGGTCGGCAGCAGTGGCACATCTTCTATAGACACACAGCTCAACTGACTAAAATTGATTTCTGCAGGTCGGACTTTTTTACATTCTCCACACATTTGTTGATGCTTTGTGTAACATGACTCAGCATTTCTTTTGAAGTTAAGTGGGGACATAAATGGCAAATGTGGTGGTCTTTATGTTTTCCAGTCAGTAATCTCTTTCAACAGTAATCTCTGGGCAGCTAAGCAAGCGGCCCGTTCTTCCACCTGCTCTGAATTAAAGAAACCAACCTGCAAAACCCCCGCGCCTGATTTGAATTGGCTTGAATCATTTTGTGAGTCGAATCCAGTGTGATCGTCTGGTGGCATCATGCGTTCATCTGCTCTTCGCAGAAGACAGATGGTCATTGTGTCTGTGTGTTTTCCAGTCAGATGAAGACCGGCTGCCAGCTTAGCTTTTGTTTTATTCTGATCTGGATCATAATGGTCTGAAGATGTTTGTTCACTGTATATTCTGCACAGGACCTGGTCAACAGGGATGTGCCTGGTTAATCGGTCAATGTGCCCTTCTTGATTCGAGACGCAAATATGTTGGATATGAATCGAACAGTTTGTTTCCTTTGCCCGACGCTCTCAGAAAACCGCCTCTGCAGAGGGCTCTTTAGCCTTTAGTCTGCCTGGTTTTTTTTTATCACTAGTTAGCGTCTATCAAACATGCCAGGTCAGAGCACTGGAGCCGACACTACACGTTGTGGCAGCTGACTGAGTAAACACTAACGCTGAGACGTGCCGTTATCTGCCGCTATCACCGGGTTTGTGGTTTTAAACGTGAGACAAAAGTGCAGACATAAGGGATATTCTTAAATTATTTGTTTTCATTATAAATGCTCCATGATGCTATAAAAGTGTGTGGATGTTTTTAATCAGACGTTTACGGAGGCCTTTGTCCACGAGATAAAATGACACTGTTGCAAACCGTGAAGTTTAACTTTGTTCCTAATAACGTAATAATAACCAGTTCTATGTGTTTATCTGTAAGTGCGTCCGTCTATGTGAGTACAGGAACAACATTTTCTGTTGTGTGTGTGGATTTTGTTGCTGTGTTTGGAAAAGGCAGCAAACTGCACTGGAAAAGGTCTTGATATGAAAACAAAGCTGATGACTGTAACATGATTTAATGACTGTTTTAAAACACTGTTAACTCTGGTATCCAATCTACTTTGACAAGAAATCTCACCCTGCTAGTACTTGGATCAAAAAAATAAGTCCATAAATAGTTCTGACATAAGCCTAACACATAAAACACGTACTTTATAGTTCCTAAAAAAAAAAACCTTGTCTCTGCTGTTCACATAAACACACCGTGAAGCAGGAATGTCTGCTGCATCATTAGCTCTGGAGATCAAAAGCTGATGACACTGTGTCCTAATCCCTTCCTCACTCCAGGGGGTACTTTTTCCCCCCCAATCTTGATAAAACTGTCTGTACGTACTTCAGCAAGGCACAAAACAGAGTTAGAAACACCAATTATAGTGGCAGGGAAAAAATTAACTGTCATGCAAGAATATAAATACCTATTCTTAGGGGTGCAAAAGTTTGAAAAAATCACGGTTCGGATTGTACCTCGGTTCAGAGCCCTCGGTTCGGTTCATTTTTGTCTTTTTTTATAAACACTTTATTATTAATAAATTAAAATGTATAAAATAAAATTAAAGTGCACAAGGCATATTTTCCCTACTGAATAATCAAGGCTCCTGTGGACTCAGCACCTGCAGGAGGATCACTGAGGGGCTGGTGCTCTGTGCTCTGACTGCCACCCCCCTGACCTAGAAATGGATTAAGGGGAAGAAAATGGATGGATGGATGGAAGGCATATTCCATCCATCCAATTAAGGTCTTTTTAACATAATTAATGAAAAACAACACAAACTGCCACATAAAAAGGCACTTTGAGGGTATTTACCCTCATATATTAAACCACCTACCTGATTCTCCCGAGGAGGCGCTCCATTCTGGGCTCAGTCCTGCCTCATTCACTGCATTTATTTAATTTTTGGCATTATCAGTTGTGACTGGGATATTAGTACTGGACCTTTGTCTTCCATTCCTCCGCTGCTTGTGTCAGTACCTGAGCTGTTTGCCTGTGTGACTTTCGTAGAGGGGGCGTGTCTGCAGCGCCGGACTTTACGTCTCCCAGTCTGCTGTGATGAAGTGAGCATTTATCGTAAACATAGCTCTCCGTTCCGCTCATGGATCTATTATAGGTTCCGCGGGACGTCCAAGCGTCAGTCGTGAGTGCAGCTGAGGATGTGCGGGAGAGTTGACTTTAGCCCGGTCTGACTGTGCGTAAAGGAGCTGCTTAAATGCAGCGGCAATAAGCGGTCGTTGAGACGCTTTTTTTTCACTCATGTCTTTCTTGTGCCGCAGTGTTTACACACCGTGAAAGTTTTGTCAAATATTCAATCATCAGTATAGTTGACAGTGACGCCAAAATGCTCCCATACAGGGGATTTAAATGACGCGGGCTTCTCCGTTCCTCCGCTCGCCGTGATTACGCTGTGTGTGGACTGAACAACATAGTGGGAGCGCATAACTTTTTTTCATAAATCAAACCGCGGATCACGTCTGTACCGAACCGAAGACGTTGATCCAAAAGGATCACGAATCAGTGATGAACCGTTGCACCTCTACCTATTGTTATTGACTGCAAAATACCTTTTCATCTTGAGATTTAAAAGATAACACATAATTAAGTTTAATTTAGCAATCTTTAAGCAAATCCATAATAATTTAACAGCGGCTACCATGTATTCTGATGCTATGCTCATGTCACGTATAGCTACGGCCTGATTAGTTGAATGCAGATGTCTAAAACAACTAGGGATGTAAAAAACTATGAATTTTCATGACCGACCACCGAGCCTCATTAACCGGTTGAAACCGGTTAACCGCGTAGTTTAAAATAGTCCACGTTCTTTGAAATAACAGCCATTTCGAGCCGCGTACTTCTCATAAGTGCAGCTCTGCGTTCTACTGGATCAGAGCCGAGACAGCGGCGCCAAAACCCACAACAGCTCCGGCATCTTTGCGCACAGAGAACTGCTTTTTTAATCTTCCCATTCTTCTGTGCTGCGGGTTAATACCAAAACTTTCTAGCAGCAAACGATGTCTCGTTCACATGGTCAGAGCAGCGAGTGACGAGCCGCGTCTCACAGGTCTTCACAAAAGTTTAAATACAAGTGATGTGTGTGGAGCTGATCCCGAGGACCATAAACACAAACATGTTCCATGTGGTTTGACTGGAGCCGCGTATTTGCGCGAATCCTTTGGGCTCCGTGACACAGAGGAGCGCGACAGACCGGTATGTGTGTGTGTATGTGTGTGTGTGTGTATGTATATGTGTGTGTGTGTAAATGTAAGCTCCAATGTAGTTCTGACCCGCGCCAGTGTGCAACTTTGACGGTAACAGAGGCGAGAGATGATGCGTGTGGATGTTACGTATGGAGAGGGGGAAAGTGTGTGTGTGTGTGTGTGTGTGTGTGTGTGCGCACACGCGTGCGTGTGTGCATGTGTGGCTCGTGCGGCGTGAGAGTCGTCCCGGAGTTTATAATACATGGGCGCACACAGCTAGATAGGGACCCGCTCGTCACACCGTGCAAATAGGGCTTAAAATAGCGTTATTAAGAGACCTCCCCTCTCCCCTTTTTCTCTTTTTTAACCGACAGCTTTGACCGGTTAACGCTGTGACGGTCAACCACCGGTTAACCGGTCGCCGATTTACATCCCTAAAAACAACACTAGAGGCTGCTGCGAGACCGTGTAAACAATCTCTGAAACTTTTAGACAAAATATTGCTTTTTAGCTTGAAAAACTTCATTCAATTCCATGATTTAGTTCTTCATGGGTCGGCTCCTCTTTGAGATTGTATCCATGTGAAGCAGAGTGTTGGCACTGGGGCTCAGAGCAGAGGGGACTGTGATGTTCCTTAAAGAAAGAGAACATTTGGACAGACGAGCTTCTCTGAGAGCCACCCACTCTGGAACACTGTCCCTGCTCACATCAGGAACATTCCAACACTAAAACCTTCACAACGTTTCTCAAACCGTAGTTTGTAACAACCAAAGAACAGTCACATTGTGGACTAATAATCTGCATGTTTTTAATGTCCTTATTTTCTGTTCTTGTGATTGTGATGTTCTTATGGTTTTATGTTGCTGCTTTTACTAAAATTTTGTGTTTATGTGGCTTTTGATGTCTGTTCAGTTTGTTGATGGCAGTAACATCAACCTGCCAGGCTTTTCATGGCTAAATATGGTCCATTTACATTGACACATGTTGATTAATGCGCACTCTATATAGGACAGAGGACAAATATCTTGAAAAGATTTACAGCTCATAGTCCAGCAATTACGATATGTTTGTCACAGAAGTTCCTGCTCATTCAGGGGTGTGACGGGAGGGTCCTGGTCATGTGAAGGACAGGATGTTTTGTTTTTGTTGAAGATTATGGTCTAAGATCATTTTGAATAAACAAATAATAATGTAGTATGAGATGAGCAGAGTTGCTGATTGTCTAAGTCTGACCTTTTGTGGGTTTAGGTGAAGCGCACCTACTCCAAGGGGACGTATCGTGCCGGGGCCATGCGGCAGGTCAGCCTGGTGGGGGCCGTGGACGAGGAGGTGGGAGACTTCTTTCCAGAGTTCATCACTATGTTGGAGCAGTCTCCTTTTCTTGTGGTAAGGGCATGTTGTAGCCTACCTCAGCAGTTCACAGCACAAATGATTTCTTACTTATCACCTCATTTACTGTACACAGCGAACACTTCCATGGGGGACCTTCTCCAGTCTGCGGCTCCAAAGCCCCACAGAAAGCGACGATGGCCCCATTATGTGGGTCCGGCCAGGGGAACAGATGATCCCAATGGCTGACATGCCAAAGTCGCCCTTCAAGAGAAAAAGGTGATTATTTGTGCAGCAGATATGTTGTTCATATTTCTGCTCTCTCTCTCTCCCTCCCCTCCCTCTCTCTCCAGTGTGCCTCTGACTGTGACAAATGTGTTTCAGGTCCACCAATGAGATAAAAAACCTGCAGTATCTGCCCAGAGCCAGCGAGCCCCGAGAGATGCTGTTTGAGGACCGGACTCGGGCCCATGCTGACCACATCGGCCAAGGCTTTGACAGGCAAACGACTGCAGCTGTGGGAGTGCTCAAGGCTGTGCGCTGCGGAGAGGAGTGAGTGCACCTCAACACGTGTCATGACACTGCATTCAAACGTCCAGAAAGAAATCTGAAAGGGGACTTTTTGAACAAAACCAACTTTAGCTTTAACTATGATCTACTTTACCCTACAATGTCGTATTCAAAGATTCTTTGAGTCTTTATTCCCATGCATTTGCCATCAGTACACCACAACTGTTCTTTACTTATGCTGATGCTTTCTGTGTCACTGTGCCATTTTGACATGAGCAAATAATCAGCAGCTTGCTACTGTGGTTGGCACTTTGTTGTGATGACATTTAGTTCTGGACAAAAAATCTGATTATTTTTAATTGCAAAAACATCAGACCTGATCACATTTCATCACATGCTGTGTCAATTCTAGCTGTATAACTGATAAGCACAATATGCCTTCTTAAAGACTTTTTTGTATTTTGGTGAAAATGTCTTTGAAATAATGTAACCCCTGTAATAATCTTGTGTGTTGCAGCAGCAACGCTCCTGCTCGGATCACCAAAGATGTTGTGTGTTTCCACGCTGCAGATTTCCCTGATGTGGTCATGAGACTGCAGCTGGACCTGCACGAGCCCCCTCTGTCCCAAGTGAGTTCCTTAATCCTTTTAGGAACAATATCAGTCATTTCTGTGACTTGACACTCACGGTTATTGTGGTCAAATCCGCAGTGTGTCCAGTGGATCGACGATGCCAAGCTTAACCAGCTCCGCAGAGAAGGAATCAGATACGCCCGAATCCAGTTGTACCACGATGACATCTACTTCATCCCCAGAGGAGTGGTCCATCAGTTCAAGACTGTGTCAGCAGTGTGCAGCCTGGCTTGGCACATCCGCCTTCAACTCTACCACCCCCAGGTGGAGAAGGGGGAGGCCAAAGAAGAGACATGCCAGCCCAAAGAAATGTCCCACATCAAAGAGGAGCAGGATGAGGAGGATGAGAAGGAGGTAAAGGTGTCAGAGGAGCGGCACAAAGTAGTACAAATGGAGGCCATGCCCAAAGTGAAGCCACTGCTGTCCCATTCACCTGAGCCGGTTATTAAAACAGAAGAGGAGGAAGAAGCAGATATAATGGACTCGCCCACATTACCTGCTGTCAATGTAAAGGAGGAAAAACATGAAGAGATCATCAGACCCACAGTGACAGAGCCCAAGACAGAGTCCGAGGAAGCCCAAGTTCAGACAGCGCAGCGGGACTGTGACAAGACCAGAGAGGTGCACAACAACACGCCATTGGATTATGATCCACCGGTTAAAAAAGAGAGTGAAAGTGTAGAGGAAAAGCAGCGCAAGGCAAGTGTGACTGTGCTAAAGGAGAAAAGTAAAGATGGCACTAACACACACAAAAAAGAAAAGGAGAGATCGAAGGGGCACGACAAGGACAGGCCCCGAGATAAAGACAAGAAGGAGCGGAATAAAGAGAAGGACTGGGACAAGCGAGATCGAGACAAAGAGAAAGGGAAAGAGCGAGAACGAATGCGAGACGGGAAGATTGAAGGAGCACCTCTGTCAAACAACAAGAAGGAGCAGCACGAGGACCGCGACCGGCCCAGAGAAAGTGGCAAAATGCACTCCTCTGAGAAGAGCTCCAAAGAGGGCCACGTTAAGAGGGAGAAGGAGCATGACAAAGAGCGGAACGGCTCCCAGAAGCCTCACTCTCGGCCTGAGCGGGAGGACGGCCACAAACACAAGTCTTCACATGTGAAAAAGGAGAAGAGTGCCCACCGCGACAGCAAAGAAGCCAACGCATCTACTCCACACAGCTCCCAAACAAAGTCGTGTAGAGACGACAGCAAATCCAGCGCTCCCAAACCTAGCAGCAATCCGTTTAAGAAGGAAAAGGAAACAAGTAAAGAGGACAGGAAACATCCAAGCTCTGGTTCTGTCTTAGAACACAAAACCCCACGGACACTGGTCACATTTGACCTCTTCAAGCCCATGTCAGCGCACACGCCTGTCCCCGCTCACACAGACTCTCGGCCCAAGAGCCACCACCACAGTGACTCCCGAAGCACTTTGTCCAAGTCTGCTTCGGACAGCCGGACTGTGCTGCTGTCTAAAGGACCAAAAGTAAAGGACTCGGTGCAGGGAAAACCTGCGGTGTCTATACAGGACACACGGACTCCACAGAACGCACTCAAATCTCCCATTAAGACACACACGCCCTCTCAGACACACAAAGATTTCTTATTATGAATGTCCACGTCTCCTTTCTTTGACTGTCAAACTTACAACGAGGCTCTGTTAAACTGTTTGGGACTGCATCCATTTGGTCACAGTACGTTATTTTAACTAACACATTTCAACTTTAATGCTATTTAAGACAAAAGATGCATATTCCAAGTTCTTTAGCGTTGCCTAAGAATGTAAGCTAAGTAGCTCACTTCACGTTTGTTAGCGAATGTATGTAGGCTCTATAGAAAATGTTATGTGACATGTGTCAGTGCCTGCCACTACTTAGCTTCGCTCTTAAAGCACCTTTTTATTTAGGTACAGAACAAGCCAATCTGGAAAAGTCATCTGTTTAATGTCCAGGCTCTAGTTTGACCTGTCATAAGTCACTGTAGGATTTGCTGCGCTAGGCCATGGGTTTTTATTTTTAACACTAAAGCAGTTCTTTTCAGATTGGTGTTCACTCACAGGGCTGTAAATGATACTGTATCTACCAAAACTGTACAGTATAGATGTTATTAGCACCAATGTGAGAAATGTATACAGAAATTGCATATATTTTTTGTAAGACAAGTTTTATTTTCCATAGAACTTATTTATATCATTTATGGTCGGATTTTATTTGAAACAAATGTATGTGATTATTTGTTGTAAATACATTTTATTTCCTAAGATATGACTTGGTGTGATTTATTCTCTGAATCAGAACCTTTCAATAAATGGTTCAGAATATTGTTTTAAGTCACCAACAGCATCTGTCATTGAAGCACACTACCCAATGATGTCATGGTCCGTCATTCTTTACTTTGTCACAGTAATATTGCATAGAATCATTTTTACCCATAAAGACATTGATGGGGTTGTATTTTTACACAATTGTATTTCCCAAAATATTGGGTTTCCTACACGTTACATTTCTTACATAAACAGGACAATAACAGAACAAAACAATTATAGAGCACAAATGTTGGCTCAATTATTGTTAATTAGACCATCTTTACCTTATATCCCAGTGAAATGAACAGAAGCCAAATATGTTATTATAAACTGTTCACCTTGCTGCCATTGGAGGCGCTATTGTCTCAACAGGATGAGTACGAGCTGGTGCTGAAGCCATAAGGCCGTTAAACCAAGCTTAACTATTTTTGAATGTTGTGTTTCCGGGTGGGAGGAGGGATTTCGCAGTATACAATGTGGATGTGACTTATATTAAACTTGAAAGTATTGTGTTCTAACAAAAGGCACAACTGAAAAGGTAATTTGCAAAAACATAAAGCAACATAAGAAAATATCAGACTAGGTTTACAACTTGCCATTTACCGGGTCTTTAATACATTTGATACTTGTGTGATACAAATAGTTTAATTCCTTGAGCAGATTATTTCAAATGTACCGCCAATAACAAAAGATGAAGTTGAAAGAAATTGAAGCCACGACATGGCAAGTTTTACTTAATAATTTTATTAAAATGTTAAATGTTTCTGTCAAAAATAATGTCAACCTCTATAGATATTAATTCAGAAATATGAGCATTAAAAAAACCGTTGATTGTCTTGAAGATTCATACAACTGCCACATGTCTGTCCTTATTTTGGTACAGTCTTATCTGAGTGAAATCTCAGTCCCTCCTGAAGTGGAAGACGTTGTGCCCTAGCTCCACCAGTGCCCCTCCCAGCAGCACCCAGAGCGGCACACACACCACACTCACCCACACGTCCGTGAGCCTCTCCAGTCTGCAGCACAGAAACACACAGAAGGCCAGCTTCAACAGCAGCGCCATCAGGTACCACAGCCGCCGCACCAGGCTGTGCTCGCCCTCCCGAGGCTCCGGGTCTGCCTTGCACCTGCCCGCCATCCTCACTACCAGCATGAGGATGAGCACTGTGTCAAAAGTCCACACAGGGAGGAAGATCAGAAACCAGTTCCATTTGATTTTAGACTCCAGTTTGAGGACCAGCAATATGAGGAACATGAGGGCAAAGATCCAGGAGAGGAGCACACGCTGGGCCAATGACATCTTCATCTACAACTGGGGCACACAGCCAGGGTCACCGAGACTAGGAGAAGGAGGGGGCTTGACACAGAAACGCAAAGCCAAGTCTGAAATGAGAAAGGACACTGAAAAAATGTAGGGATGTGAATCCCTACATTTTTTGACAAAAAGCAGCAAAAAGTAATCATATTTTTTGAATTTGGAATCAATATAAATACAATTGGCAGGATCAAATATCACACAGGAATGAGATCGATGAGTTACCATTCCAGAGTAGGGCTATTCATTCTTACAATTACAACTACCTTTTACAATTTCTTTGAGCTCTGTAGCCTAAATGGCGATGCAGCAGATGTATGCATTTTTATTCTGTTTGAGCGTGCCCTGAAGTGTAGGAAAAGATTTGGACCTGGCTCAAAAAGCTGTCAATCTCAAGAGCACACATTCCTGCTTCAATCTGTTTATGTGAACAGCAGAGGGAGTCATAACAAAGTAAAGGGAACACAGTACAATTGTCAAAACAGAGTTAATGGACGTCATGGATTTTGACTCTATCAAGTTTTAGTCAGACAGTCAAATGGAATGGATTTGCCTTTATCATCCCCTCGTCATGAAATCATGTTATGTACAGTTAAAACAGTTGGCTTTGTTTTTCTCCATTAGCTGTTGGGTAAGTGCTACATTGATGTAGCGGGTCGCGGCTAATATTACAGTGGAAAAAATCACTATCTTAAAATGTAAAATGTGCCACAGGGGGGTGCTGTTTGTTTACAGGTGCACTTAATAGTCCAGCAAGTACTGTAGTTGATTAGTTCATACTTAAGATCCTGAAAATGGGAATTTAAATACATTGGACCAAAACAAAGCTCAAGTAATGCCCATTGTAGGACATTTACATTAGAGATGACACACTGGGTTGTTTTGTAAAAAATACTTTTAACACATTTTCAATTCATTCTGTAAGAGCCCTACAAATGAATAAATCATGAATTTGGAATAAATATGTATTAAAGTTAGCATTACCTGTGGCTCAACATATTAACCAGTTCAGAGGGAGGCGAGAAGTAGTTAGTTAATTGTAACAAGGGATATTGTCATGTTATGCCATTTAACAAAATAAAGGGGTTAGGGCATTGTATTAGAATAATTACTGGTTAGGTTGTTTTAAAATTAAGATGAAATAAGTTATATGGCAGAATACGTAGTTGTCAAGTCATACTTACATGTACATTTAACGCTATAACCTTGTGAAAACATCTGTCTACAGCTAGCTAAACAACATTGACCAAACGAAGTTAAAAATCACCGATAAACCAGGTGAAAACATGTCTCACCTGTGGCGAAGAGCTCCGTTCACAGCCACGCTAACAAAAACACAAACGAACTCATTCTTATTTAAAGAAAATACTTGTTTTCAAAGGGGAAAACACGCTCTTAATTTAGTTTATTTGGCGTTAGCATTAGCATTAGCCACCACGCAGTTTCCGTCCTATGTGGGTGCGTTCTTTCAAATTAAAAGCATGGCTATGTCAAAATAAAACTCATCTTTTTCTGCTTTATGCCGAAGGGGGGTCATTTTTTATAAAACAAGCATTGATATACAAGTGCACGGACTGTTACAAATGTTTTCCTGCTTTGAATAAAGAGAATTGGCTGCAGTGGTCTTCCAAAGTTTATAAATGGCAATACCTTTCATGTGAAAGCCAGATCCTAGCAGATCTCTGCAGCTAAGCAGGAAAGACTCTGGTTAGCACTGTGATGGGTGACCTCACCGTGCACCAAGTGCCACAGTGGGGTGGTTGCGCTGTAGAGTGACAAACTGATGTTGTGTTCTTAGGAAACACATTTCACCCATATTGCGAATAAATCTGGCTTTTGCCTTGGTGGTTGTTTGTGCACGGAGGGGCCAATGGCACATATGGGTTACCTTGCTTCTGTCAGTTTGCCTCAGGGCAGCTGTGGCTGTAAAAGTTTGTGAACACCGTATATTGAGTGAAAGTATGACACGTGTAGCGTCTTTGAGAGTCTGAAAAAGCCTCATAAAAAACAGCTGCATTATTATTATTAAAGTGAGCAATAGATGCTAGAATCACAATCAAACAAGTGATAATGGGCAATGGCAATACATATTATTACTGAAGGCATCCTTGGGTGTTTTGAAAGGCATTTTTAAATAAAATGTATTATTATTATTAAGGCTTCCAGCACATGTATAAAAGACAGCATTGATTTTTACTGGTCAAGTTTAATACAAAGTACAACTCATTATACATATAGATTGTCAAAAAGGTAATGTACAAAACTCTTGAGGTAAAACATCATTTTAAAAAGTCTTAAAAAGCCCTTATTAAAAGTGTTTTCTTTTTCATTTAAAAGCTAATGTTGCACAATCTAACGCTAATTCCAAAAACAAAACAAAAAACCCAATACACTTTCAGTTACATTATAGTGGTGAATGATGCAAAATACAGTGTGTGACACGACATTCAGTCAAATTATTCTTGTCGTACAAATAGTATAAAGAAGATGACGTACAAAGCCCACAGTTCGAGAGCGAGCAAATGCGGCCACTTAACTGTTATCTCCAAATAAAACATTTTGCATTAAGACCCCTAAGAGCGTTGGCAAGACAAAACAAAACCACATGTAATCAGATATTTTAAAAAAGTGAAAAAGTATAAATAAATAAGATGATTTTTTAAAGATTCGGAATACATGACCTTTTTCCGATGTCGTTTTGATGTAAACTTGCGGCTGTATGAAAACCACACATTTTCTTTTGATGCAACTCATGTCTCCTCTGTTTTCCGGATGATTTCACTTTTTACTACTGAAACAATCAAACGTACCAAGCAAGTGCAGTAGTGGTAAACGTCTCTAAATGGTATTATTATCATCATCCTTATTATTATTGGAATACACACTGGGATTTGTTAACTTTAAGGCAATCGCAGCTACACAATGCTCTGTCTGCTCTCCCTGCTGTACCCCAGAGGGTCTGCGGCGTGCGGAGGGAAGTCTATGAAGATCCCGTCCGTGTCCGAGTCGGCCGATTCCAGCACTTGTCCGATGATGGTCTCGGGGCTGGAGCATTCGCTGGGCGGGGTGGAGGACGTGCCTTTGCTCAGGTCGGTCATTGTTGTGGTGGCCTCTGTGCCGTGGAGAGGCCCCGAGGAGCGAAGAGGAAGGATCGAGGAAGAAGAGAGAGGGAGAGCCAAAGTGCTGGACCCTGCACAGAAACAGGTACCACACTTATTTATATAACGCATTTCACAGTCCAAGGTCAATACACCCCTGATCATTCATGCAAACACACACGTACACACACACAGACATTCTCAGAGGTCTGCCATCACAGTACTAACCTGGCCACTTCTAGGATCCAACTAGAGAGTTCCTTGCTCTCCAAAACACTTTGCTTCTATCGCTAGTTTTTTGTGTGTTTTTGCCCTTCTTTAGATCAGATTTTTTAGATAGAAAAAATATTTTGGTGTTTGTTTTATGTGATTATTTGTGCCTTGTGTAATGTGGGCTGTGAAGCGCTTTTCGTTGCCCTGTGTAGGGAAGGCGCTCTACAAATAAAGATTGATTGATTGAATGATTGATGTTATACTAGTGGCTATATTCTGTTGTTTATGTAAAAAAATAATAATCACGTTATAGTGAGGGACCATTGTACGAGTCATACCATTGAAGTGGGGGCCCACACACAGCCTGTTGGAGGAGACGGACAGCTCTGACCCCGGCGCCCGGTCGCTGTACACCAGTCCTTGCTCCTCCAGGCAGGAGATTATCTCACAGGCCGAGTGGCGCCGGATCCCCCCACTGCCCACCGAACTGGCATCTGGGTCATACTCGGCCACGGGGGTCAGCAGCAGGGGAATGTTGTAGCTTTTGGAACGCACGACCGGGTTCTTGGACAGCTGATCCACAGACTTTGCCAAACCCCAGGGCAATCGCTTCTCTGTGGACAGGAGATAGGATGCAGTAATGAAGAGGTGGCAGTTTGAGTCATCAGTCAGCGGATACATTGTTAGGGCACAGAAAAGGAAGAAAATGTAGAGTTGTGCTTGAAACCAAACCAATGGCAACTGTTTGGTCATATCTTTTATATAATGAAATATAGCAAATTTAAATGCATACAAAACTTTTTTCCAGATATTGTTAGTGGTAGTGTGAAGCCAGGTGAAAATATTTAAAATGTGAAACCAATATATAATTATAACAAAGACAAGGCCTGGGCGACATTGGAATACAAGTGGCCAAACCGGCTGCAGCAGCGCGGAGCTCTGGCTGTGCGTTTAACAGCACCCCTTGAGGAATTGTTTTAAATAGAAGAAGCGGTGTGTGATTTGCATGAGCTGTGGCTGTGATCAGTGCAAAGCACGGTATATTGAAGCATCGAAGACGTCGCGATGGATGAGGGAAAACTTATTGAAAGCATTTGGAACAAGGGGAGAGAGAAGAGAGAAAAGAACTCTATAACATATCCAGTGTTGTGAGATCTGTCTCTCATGAGTGCAGCTCTGTGGGCAATGTGTGTGCGTGTGCATGCGCGTATGCGTGTGCGTGTGTGTGTGTGTGTGTGTGTGTGTGTGTGTGTGTGGGGGAGTGTGTGTGGGGGAGCGCACGGCGGTGAGGAGAGAGCACTTGGAGGTAGAGGGGACAGAGCGAGGGAAAAAAGAGCAAGGCGTATGTAAAATTTAGCGTATTAACATTACGCGAAAAATAAATGGTAGATTTACGATCAGGAAACAATTATTTACATGAACAAAATTACACACATTTGTTAATGATCATTGTCATTAACAAATACTTATAACCAGGACTACGGCATATATCAATACATATTTAATAATGTGGTAAATATATTATTCCATTGTATTTTCAATGGAAAACGGACCCGACACGCGTCGACGGACGGAACAAATAGGATTGTTTTTATTTCGTCCGTTGCACCCTCCGTTGACGGAATGCGCATGTTGGAGGCAGTGAAGCCGCTTCCATTCACCCTCATGGAGATAACGGAGACGGAGAAGAAACGGACACGTTTGGACGGATCCGTCGTCCGTTTTACGCGCCTGGTGGAGTCGGGGCCTCAGGCTTAATTTATCATTCATAAATGCATTTTTTGTGTGCTCAGCTTCAGAGCGTTATGCTATATGTATATAAACAGAGGAGGGCTCAGCGGCCTGATAGACTCGTGGAAAGGCCGCATTTGGCCCATGAGCCGGGGTTTGCTCACCACTGATATACATTGGCTGCATCGCTATGTAAGCCACAGAGTTTTAATAATTTGAAAAAGAAGAGGCTTAACGTCTGGCATTTACGGTACATTCCATCTCTTAAAACAGTTTAGTTCTATCACTACTTTTCACACGCACGTATTTCTGGCCCCTATCACATCCCTCAGCATCAAATAGTGACTAATTGGGCTCTTTCTTAAAAGTATACAAGTTTTCTAAAAAGACAAATACAGCATGTTGTGGTCTGAACAGGACTCTTTCTGTTGGATGTTTGTTTGCTACAAGTACATTAGAATTACCAAAGAATCACCCAGCTTTCACAAAATGAACCCACTGAACCCGCTTTCTAGAATAGATTAAATGATGGCTAAAGTTATCCGTGATTATTTGACTATTTGAGTACTTAAGAGCTGCTTTGTTCTCCCTGTGAAAAACGATAGTATTGCTCTTACCTAAAACGCAGCAGTTGGCCTCCACACCATCTCCGGAGTGCAGTCCATGCGTGCCAAGGAAGGGCGACACCACCATCTGAACCAGGGACTCCAGCCTCAGGTACTCCTCGCTGATCCCACGAGAGTCATGTACCCCCTGGACAAAGAACGTACGCGCAAACTCTCAAGACCCGATCAATGCGAAAGGAAATGTATGAACACCCTCTAAGAAATTAAATGTTGATATTATTAAAACCAAAGAAAATGTTTGCTAAACTCAACTATGGTTAGCATTAAATATTCGTCACACATACACCATCCAGAGCGGAAATGATTGTTGTTGCTTGGACGATCTTCCCATTTTTTTGTATTAGTGTCATAAAAGCCCATGTGAGCAGGACACAAATAAAATCCATTATTTCATTCAAATGTATGTTTGTGTAAGCTCTCAGTCGTACAGGGATTAGTCAAAGCAAAGGAAGGTTTCTCACCCATCATCTGTACTTCTTAGCAAGTTTTCCCGACGTTTCGTCCTCAACCTAGCGGACTTCTTCAGGGAATGAATTCTCGGACCGCGCGTTGGAGATTTATAACCTATGGGTGTGGTTAGCCACACCCTAATCCTGATACTAACTCGTAAACAATCTCAGGTCTGCTTGATGTAGAAGGGAGCAGATCTAACGACCCTGCTGAGGCTAAGGACCCTAACTCCTTAGCATGTCACAGACCTATTGTCTGCTGGGATGCTCAAGTGGAGTGCAGGTCTCACCCCTCCTAACTCATTAGCATGTCACTGACCTTGTCCCAAGTTAGGGCGTTGTTTTTAGGATGTCGTCATAGATGCGAGGCAAAACAAATCTTAACCCTCCTCCTCGGTTAAGAGAAGGTTTTTGTTTCCTCACAAAAATGGCTTCTTTCACTCCTCTCTCAAACCAATTCTTCTCCCGAGCCAGAATTTTAACCTCTGTGTCATCCACCGTGTGGTTGGAGGCCTTGAGGTGGAGATGAACAGCCGACTGTGGCCCACTAGAGTTTTCTCTACGATGTTGGTAAAGTCGTTTCTGTAGAGTTTGTTTGGTTTCTCCAATATAGTGGTCAGTGCACTCCTCTTCACTACATTTAATTGAATACACCACATTGCTCTGTTTGTGTCTGGGTGTTTTGTCTTTGGGATGCACTAATTTCTGTCTTAACGTGTTGAAAGGTTTGAAATACACAGGGATTTTGTGTTGCCTAAAGATTCTTTGTAGTTTCTCTGAAACTCCCACCACATACGGTAAGGACACGCCTCTCCTCCTACTTTCTTCTGTCTGTTGGACTGTGTCTCTGGCCTTTCTCGTCCTTTGGGCTTTAGTAAAAGACCACTTGGGGTAGCCACATCTGGAAAGTGCTCTCTGAACATGTTTGGTTTCTCTGTTCTTTCCCTCCGAGCTTGTGGGGACCTGGTGGGCTCGGTGTTGGAGCGTTCTAATGACCCCGAGTTTGTGTTGTAGCGGATGATTTGAGTCAAAGGCCAGGTACTGGTCAGTGTGAGTGGACTTTCTGAAGACCTCAGTCTCTAATTGTCCGTTCTCCAGTATGATGACCTTACAATCTAGAAAGGCGAGTTCACTCTCCTTAGCATCCTCGCGAGTGAAATTTATAAAAGGGTTATAAATAGGTTATAAATCTCCAACGCGCGGTCCGAGAATTCATTCCCTGAAGAAGTCCGCTAGGTTGAGGACGAAACGTCGGGAAAACTTGCTAAGAAGTACAGATGATGGGTGAGAAACCTTCCTTTGCTTTGATTCAAATGTATGTTTATAAACTTCACCAGACACATTTGAAAAGAAAGTACACAGTGCCCACACATTGGCCGCACTTGAATATAATCCAAATAATCCAAATGTTTTCATATTGTGATGCAACACTTCACCAACCGCTGATGGAGCAAAACAAAGCCGACAGACTGTGTTAACTGAACACAACATGATTAAACGATGAGGCGTTTTAATGCACTGTTGACTTGTGATGATCAAAGCACTCTGGGAAATCTAATCCATTCTTTTTATTGCCATTGTAAGAAACAGGAATGTATGCATTACTATTACCGCATTACTACAGATCCATTCATCTGATATTCTGTCAATCACCTGCTGATATTGTTACTATTGTTTATTCTGGTCGTATTCTCTGCTGCTAGAGTACAATATACAGTCTGTAAATACCTCTGAAATAAGTGCAATTATAGCTCCAGAATTTTATTTCATTTTATTCTTGCAATCTGAGTTATATCCTCCTTTTCCCTGCTGTAAAGTGCGCAACGACAACACTGAAATTTCCCCACTGTGGGACGAATAAAGGAATATCTCATCTAATCTTATTTATAGAAAAAGTTAAAAAAGTTAAAATAAAAAAGTCCATAAACTCTGTTCTGACAATATCTGTAATTGTATATAAACAAATCCTGTGTATTTCCTTAACACTTCTTTGTGTCTCCCTGCTGTTCACATAAACACCCCAAAGCAGGAATGTGTGCATCAGCTCTGGAAATCTGCGGCTGATATAGCTGTAGAGACCCTCCTGTACTCCAGGAGGCGCTCAAAAATAACAAAAATACAAACATTAGCATTGCTACATAGGCTCCAGGGTTCATATTACTTGGGGGGGGGGGGGGTGAATGTTGGGCGGGTCTAGGCTGTGATTGACACTTGACAATAAAAGCAATAGTGACAAAAACTAAAATCTTCAACAAAAACGCTATTAACACAACCCAATTATCAATAGTACAAACAGCTATGCAAATAAAAACCTACCTAAATGTTATAACTAATCGCAAACTTGACAATCGATGAAAATACTCTCTGCTATTTCTTCCTTCCTTTGCTAGGGGGCGTGAACGAGACTGGGCTTGACGTACGATACGTCAAGTATCACTGCAGACGTCAGGCATCACTGCAGATGTCAGGTATCACTGCAGACGTCAGGTATCACTGCAGACGTCAGGTATCACTGCAGACGTCAGGTATCACTGCAGATGTCAGGTATCACTGCAGACGTCAGGTATCACTGCAGACGTCAGGTATCACTGCAGACGTCAGGTATCACTGCAGACGTCAGGTATCACTGCAGACGTCAGGTATCACTGCAGACGTCAGGTATCACTGCAGACGTCAAGTATCACTGCAGACTTCAGGTATCACTGCACATGTCAGGTATCACTGCAGACGTCAAGTATCACTGCAGACGTCAGGTATCACTGCAGACGTCAGGTATCACTGCAGACTTCAGGTATCACTGCAGATGTCAGGTATCACTGCAGACGTCAGGTATCACTGCAGACGTCAGGTATCACTGCAGACGTCAAGTATCACTGGAGACGTCAGGTATCACTGCAGACGTCAGGTATCACTGCAGACGTCAAGTATCACTGGAGACGTCAGGTATCACTGCAGACTTCAGGTATCACTGCAGACGTCAAGTATCACTGCAGACGTCAGGTATCACTGCAGACTTCAGGTATCACTGCAGACGTCAAGTATCACTGCAGACTTCAGGTATCACTGCACATGTCAGGTATCACTGCAGACGTCAAGTATCACTGCAGACGTCAGGTATCACTGCAGACGTCAAGTATCACTGCAGACTTCAGGTATCACTGCACATGTCAGGTATCACTGCAGACGTCAAGTATCACTGCAGACGTCAGGTATCACTGCAGACGTCAAGTATCACTGCAGACTTCAGGTATCACTGCACATGTCAGGTATCACTGCAGACGTCAAGTATCACTGCAGACGTCAGGTATCACTGCAGACGTCAAGTATCACTGCAGACTTCAGGTATCACTGCACATGTCAGGTATCACTGCAGACGTCAAGTATCACTGCAGATGTCAGGTATCACTGCAGACGTCAGGTATCACTGCAGACGTCAGGTATCACTGCAGACGTCAAGTATCACTGGAGACGTCAGGTATCACTGCAGACGTCAGGTATCACTGCAGACGTCAAGTATCACTGGAGACGTCAAGTATCACTGCAGACTTCAGGTATCACTGCACATGTCAGGTATCACTGCAGACGTCAAGTATCACTGCAGATGTCAGGTATCACTGCAGACGTCAGGTATCACTGCAGACGTCAGGTATCACTGCAGACGTCAAGTATCACTGGAGACGTCAGGTATCACTGCAGACGTCAGGTATCACTGCAGACGTCAAGTATCACTGGAGACGTCAGGAATCACTGCAGACGTCAGGTATCACTGCAGACGTCAGGTATCACTGCAGACGTCAGGTATCACTGCAGACGTCAGGTATCAAGTATCACTGCAGACGTCAAGTATCACTGCAGACGTCAGGCATCACTGCAGACGTCAAGTATCACTGCTGCGCCAATTCAAAATTCAAGTGTAGTTTTACAGATCGCCTGCAGATGGCGCCTCACTGACGGTTTCAAGCAGAAAGTTGATCTTTCAACTAATTTGCACCAAAGGGACAAAATTATGACCAGGATATGTACACAACACATATCCTGTGTTCCCTGATTTATACCGTTTATCAGCAAAAAAAGTGGATTTGATGGAGAGTTGTGCTTTTAAAAAAAGGAGCGGCTTATTGTCCAGCAGGTACGGTATACTCAAAACAAACATTCAGGGAGCAGGCTTTAACAGTTTACTTTGTGGATGTCACTATTGTGCTAATGTAATACAGCACTCTCGGCTCTATAGTATTTTTATCTATAGTCCTTCTGTGTGTACTTCTGAGCCCTGTATGAAACCTCAGTGCAAACAAAGGTAATTGCTTGTCTGAAACACATAAGTTCAGCCATCATACTTAACAAGGCCTTTATCTTGTTAAATTAATGTTTAAAGAGAGCATGTTTGATTTACTTTTAAGTAATAATAATGTCCCTGAACAAAAGCACACATGCGGCTGGATCAAATAGATTTATTCCATGTTTGCTCTATTGTCCTGCGTTCAAGTCTCGAGTCTTGAAATACCTTGAAGTAATTCTTAAAGTAAGTGATATAGTAAATAATTGGGTAAAGTTTTCCAAAGGAAAAAGTACAAAATGTCTTGTTTTATCTGAGATCAAAAAACAACATTTTCAATCAAAATGAGGCTTGAAAAAAAGACAAAAAGCAACTTGTTCTATTTGCAAGGTCTTTAGCAGCCTGGGAAAATAATCTCTATTTAACTTAGCCACTTATTTTGTGAAATAGGTTTTGCTGAATTCTATTTCAGTTGGAGGGCAGGAGTCAGTACAACTCGATTGGAAAGAAGCAATTTTTGAAAGAAATGTTTTCTTATTCTTGTGTCTGAAAGTCCTTTCTCCTGGTCAACGTTATTCGTAGGTTTTTGATTACTGTTCCTGAGCGCGGTGTCCTCTGCAGCTGTTTTTTACAGTGTATGCACGGCTTTTGACAGCTGCAGCAGCACACAGACCCACAACAAACAGGTTTTATATCTCGCACTTCAGCAGTCACAAAAGTGTAGAATGTGTGTGGGGAGGGGTTTTACAGCCTTTAAAAATAGAGCTGCGACTTTGGGGATTTTTCTTATTGCGAGATATTTATAAGTAATCTCTGCGATAAACAAAGGACCTCTGTAGACCAAAGTAGTACTGACAACGAAGATGTGGAATTTTGTAACAGTTTGTTTCATGTGGATTGGCCCAGGAATTAGTGGAGACTAGAAGTATGACTTTGACAGTTTCCATAGTTACCGACAGGAAAGGTATTTCAGCTGCCTTCCACTACATTGTTAAACTATAGGTTCAGGAACATTGTGATATCACATCAACGCAAACTACTCATTCATAATTCTGAGCCTCACAGCAGGACTAAAACAGGAGTAATCCATGTAAATATGTCCAAAGGGCAGTATAATTCTCATACCAGTGTTCCCCTCTGTCTTCAATATGTAATTTAATGTTTAACAGAGTGACTATGATTTAGGGCTGACAAACTTGCCGGATCACACTGGCTGACCTGTAGAATGAGCAGCATCTGGGTGACAGAGGGGGGAACCCGGGCGCGGGGCCTGGAGAGAGCCTCCTCCAGCTTCACACTCAGGACGATGGTGTTTCTGAAGTGCAGCAGAGCCAACTGTCGGACCGATGGCTCCTTCCCCTGACCAGATACACACATGTTGTTAGGAGGAGGAGCAGGCTAAAGCATTGTCACTCTGTCTGCACACTATTGCACCTGCACTGGGTGAAAGATGGCCTGAAGCATGGACAGAACATCACAGAAGAAAAAATCCCACGTCTCGGCCAGAGAGTCCAGCAGCTTCTGACCTAAACACACCAATGTTGTAAGTAAGTAAGTAAGTAAGTAAGTAAGTAAGCTTTTATTTATATACCGCCTTTTCACTGCACATCGGAGTCTCAAAGCGGTTTACAATTGTTATTTTTTTGGGAGTGGGGGTGCCAGTACAGGAGGCACATGCCATACCTATTGTACATATTTTTAGTGGTAGGGGAAACCGGAGCACCCGGAGGAAACCTACGCAGACACGGGGAGAACATGCAAACTCCACTCAGAAAGGCCCTGGTCCAACCGGGATTTGAACCCAGGACCTTCTTGCTGAGAGGCGAGAGTGCTATCCACTCAGCCACCGTGCCGCCCTTCATGGTAAACTTGTATTATTTGAACACACTGTGTGACGAATGCGGTTTGGTACCTTCGTAGAATCGGATTTTGTCTCGAAGGATGACCATGCCTTTTGTTAGCAGCTGATTCTGGAAAAGAAAATGTTTGTTAAATTCCCTTTTCTAATCTATGAGCTAAACCAATGGACTGTATGGACTGTTGTGTTTTTCCCACATGAAAATAGTTACAGTGTAAGATGGACACAAAAAGTAACAAAAATCCAGTAAAAAAAGAAAAGAAAAATCCAGTACTTGTTGGACACCTGTATTTAAACAGCGCCAGCGAAATGTTAAAATAAACAAATATGAGTTGCAGGTTTTCATGTTGTCATGTAACGATTAATCAACTGCTGACGGAGCTGTGTCAACCACAATAAAAATGTATACAGGCTGAATAGATCTTAATAGTACTTTGTATCTGTCTCGGGGGACGTCCACACTTGTTTGTCTCTTTCACTTTATTTGTGGATACAAAACCACCAAACAAGAACATGTGTCCACTCTTAAGTCAAGTTTACCTCTCAATCTTATGAATCAGTGAAGCTTTACCAGACCGAGTCCATGTGAACCAGACTAACAAGTGTGAACTCGCCCTGAAATCTAGATTTGCCACAAAGACAATAAAAGTGTCTTGTTATAAAGGAGGCAAGGACATTCAAGAAAAAAAAAAGAGAAATAAAGTGCGCTTGAAATTAGAAAAAAGTATGTATGTAGTACTGTAGAAAAAAGTATGTATGGCACACCAAAAAGTTCTTGATGAAATGCAAATGTTGTATCTTGTTTTTAAACTGTAGTCAATGTACTCAATTCAAGAGCATATTACCCGATATTTGATCATTTTCTGCAGTGTATGTTGTCCTGCACCTCATTGGCTGGTGTGTGTGTTTGTGTGTGTGTGTGTTTGTGCGTGTGTGTGTGTGTGTGGCCTGTAACCTCCTGGATAAAGTTGTGCTTGAGGCGTTGTCTTGTGTACAGAGCCTGGGGCAAAACTGTAGTTTCACTTCTTTAGAACCGTTTCAAACCCACAGTTAGTCTACAACAACAATTAACTGTATACAGATGTTTAATTCATAACAACAACACGGTTATAAGCCAAAGGACTCAATATAGTTGAATTAAAGTAGGGCTGTATTAAATAATTACTTTGATAATAGATTAGTTGGCCATTTTTTCTTTGTTTATTTGATTTGTTGTTTAGATCCCAATATTCTACAGGTTGATTCTTTTTTTTTTAAGACCAACTACAGTTGCTGGTGAGAGAAAAAGCCAGAGAAACACATCCATGATCACATTACAGAACATTAGGGGCATCACAGAGAGGGTAGCTTGTCTGAAGTTTGAGTAATATTGGTTTTTATTGCTCCCAGCTTTTATCCCCCGAGCCTCAGCATCAACCTCTCTCTCTTGTGCTTATGTGTGTGTCTGTTTGTCCGTCCGTCGTTGTGTTACCTGCAAGTATTCTGTGAAGAACGATCCCAGCTCAGTCTTCAGCAGATGCCTGTGATAAACACAACAACAGAATTATTCAGATTTATAGTTGACAACCGCGACTCAAGACTAATGTGCGGAATGAGTGCCTCTGATTGTTGTGTAGCAGCAACACAAACTAGAGCAGTGAGAAAGAACTATCAACGTCTGTGAGTTTTTCCATTAAAAAAAGTTTCTTTCTGTGAATGTGTGGCCAAAAGAAGACTGTTATAGAGAGATAATGTGATATCAGCCTTACCAAGCACATGGCGGCCCAGAAATACATACACACACACACACACACACACACACAGACATGCACATACACAATCACACAAGCACTTAAACATACACAACAGACATACACACACACACGCACACAAACACACACGAGCACACACACACACACACACACGAGCACTTACATACACACACTAACACGTACCTACAAACATGCACAGACGAGCAAGTACACACACACAAGCAAACACACAGACATGCACACGCACACAAACACACACAAGCACATACATACAAACACACAAGCATGTACATACACACACCCAAGTATGTACATACACACACACAAGCACGTACATACACACAAGCAAACACACAGACATGCATGCAGGCACATCCATATACACACACGCATGTACACACACATAAGCGCACACACACACTTTCCCGAGGAGAGGGTAAACTAAACATGTGTAATTAGACTAGAATAGACAGTGGGCTGCATGAGGCTCACCGCACGCCTTCGTTCAGGGCGTAGAGTTCGTTATCAGCCAGACCCTTCTTCTGGAACACGGCGATGACGGCGTTGTGAATGCTACACACAAAACACCATTCAATAACACACATTAGTTTAGTTTGACATGAAATATACAGAGAGAGCGAGAAGCAAAGAGAACTCACTGCTACAGACAAGTGGAAATGTTAAAGTTTGTAATCATGTTTGTAAATGTTTTGGCTTTTTCTTTCCATAATAATCTAAAATTATAACTGGAATTCTTGTCATTTTCGGTGTAGGTTAAACACTGCACAGTTTTGTCTGTTCACAAAACTGTCAAATATGCCGTGCTTGAAACTTGAAAAATGTATTATTTATCTGCTTGTTGTCCTTTGTCCTTTCATTTTTAGTTCTATTCAAGATTAGTAACAGGGAATTAGGTTTAGTAAAAGAAAAGATGCCAGTTAATTTAGTCTATAAAATTGTAGTTTTTTCATGTTTAATATATAAAATCAGAGACAGACTCTTGGACGTCAAGTTTGTTAATGTGTTAGATAATGTACTTGTTTTTATTATTTGAATAATTAACCTGCCCTTTCAGTCAAATATATATAATGTATCATTTCCAGTCATGGTTTTAGCCTTTTTTTAAATGATGGCATCCACTAAATAATGACGAATGCACTTTGGTCGGCCAAAATAACACTGATTACAAACTATTTCACGGGTTTTAAATCATTCACTTCAGGTAGAGCCACATCAGGCCTCACCGTGTTGCTCTAAGACTGATATTTAAAGATTCAAAGTTGACCAATGGGGGGGGACCCTTACCTGTTCCACGTTGCATTGGCCCCGGCCTTCTTCTGCTTCTCCCCTCTCTCCTCAGGCGACCCCTTCTCACACTTGCCCAGCTCGCTCAGACTGGGAGAGCTCATCAACTTAAGCCGGTGCAGGGTCCTCATGGTGGAACAAGACAGAGAGTATACTTAGAAGTGGACCAGGGAGACAGAAACCAGGTCAGCCGCTGCATGAATGAGATTACTGCAGGGAACTGGGCTGCCAAAAGCCATTGAAAAACACTATATAAAGTGCTCTGGTGACAAGTAGGACGGAATGATGCAGCGGCGGACCGTCTTGCGTGTTGATATCTGATGAGTGGGCTTTCTAATACGTGTCTTCGGGCTCCCTTTAACCCTCAGATATGCTGCCGACTTCCAAATCGCACCTGCTCCTCACGTTTCACTGTTTCCGGGACAATACTGGCTTTGATGCTGAAAGGTCTGTTAGATTTATGCAGAGTT